CAAGCGTGTCCTCCGCTACCTTCGGGGGACCAAGGACTACGTTCTTACCCTTGGCGGTCCCTCCCCTCCCCTCCTCACTGGCTACTCTGATTCCTCCTGGGCTGACTCTAGGCCTGACCGCCGCTCCTCTCAGGGCTATGGCTTCTCTCTTGGCAGTGGCCTCATTAGCTGGCGCTCCACCCGCTCCTCCTCCATTGCCCTCTCCTCTTGCGAAGCGGAGCTGTATGCCGCTACCATGGCTGCGCAGGAGGCCCGCTGGCTCTCCTTCCTTCTTGAGGAGCTTGGTGCCCCTCAGCGCTGTCCCACCATCTGGTGCGACAACGCCAGCACCATCCACCTCACGAAGGATGCCGTGTTCCACAGGCGCTCCAAGCACATTGAGCTTCGCCACTACTTCATTCGCGAGCTTGTGCAGGGTGGCCACCTCTAACTGGGCAAGATTGACTCTGCTGCCAATCTTGCCGACATCTTCACCAAAGCCCTCCCCCACGCCACCCACTCATCCCTCCTTCGCCTTCTTGGACTCGCTCCCCCTGTTCCCTCGTCCACCTCCTGATTCAAGCCCTCTAGTCTGATGCATGTTGGGGGGTTGTGTTGTAAAATATATATCTATACAACATGCATGCCTAGATTAGGAGGTGTAGTCATTATAAATATTGGGGGGTTGTTGGTTGGGTTGACCAACCCCACATTTGGGTTGGTCAAGATTGGATTTGGTCCTAGACATTTGGTTGGCACTATTCCAACCAAATGGTTCTTGGTCCTATGAACCAACCAATCACCAAGCACCACACTTTGTGGTTGCTTGCCTTCCAAGCAATCTCTCTCATTGGTCCACGTTGTGGCCAATCAGAGAGCACCACACTTTGTGGTTGCTTGCCCTACAAGCAACCTCTCCCATTGGTCCACTTTATGGCCAATAGGAGAGCTTCCCTTCCAACTCTTCCTTGCTCCTTGTTTTGTACAAAAGAGCCTCTTGGCTCTCTACTCAATCAATCTTTTCTCTTCCAAGCTATTTCCTTCATACCCGACCCGGTCGGGTAATTAATACCCGAGGTCGGGTATCACACCTCGACATGGGTGTAAGTCGCGGTGTGTTTTAGGTTTCGCGGCAAAACGGTTTGGGAGGTGAGGGGGAAAGAGTGGAGCATTTGTGAGGAGAAGTTGGAGTTTGTAGATAGGGAGGAGTGAAGTGCAGTGAAAGGGAGGGAGTTGGGTGGGAGTTGGAGAAAAGGTTGGAGTTTGTAGATGGGGAGGAGTGAAGTGCAGTGAAAGGGAGGGAGTTGGGTGGGAGTTGGAGAAAAGGTTGGAGTTTGTAGATGGGGAGGAGTTCAGTGCGGTGAAAGGGAGGGAGGGAGTTCGGTTAGAAATGTTGGAGTTTGTAGACAGGGAGGGGTTCAATGCGGTGAAAGGGAGGGAGTTTGGTTGGAAATGTTGGGAGTTTGTAGATGGGGAGGAGTTCAGTGCGGTGAGAGGAAGGGAGTTGGGTGGTCAAAATTCGACCCCCAGAAAACGCGAATCATTTGGGAGTCGCGTTTTCAGAAACCCTAGCTAGCCTAGCCCGTTTTTAGGAGGTCCACTAGTAGGTGGCAGGTGGTAATACCCGCTTTTCAGGGTAACCGGGTCAGGAATACCCGGACCCGCCAGGCGGGTGTTGTGTTACCCGTCCCCTAAGGCCGGGTCCGGGTAAGGATCGTGGGCATATTACCCGACCCGGACCCGACCCGAAAATACCCGACCCGAGGTCGGGTATTGCAAAACCGGGTCGGGTCGGGTAATTACCTGGTTTTGCTCAACCCTAGTCACTGGCATGCAGGCAAAGTCAACAGCATGCACGCAAAGTCAACAGCATGCACGCAAAGTTAATGGCATGCATCACTACAGTTTAGGCTTGAGCAAAATACCCGCGAGGGTCGAGTACCCGGACCCCAATCCGCTTTTTCGGCGGATCGGGTATCCGGATTCCGGAATATTACCCGGCGGGTCGGGTCCGGGTTACCCGAGCGGTAGACATGGGCAGCATGCCGAGCCTGGCTCGACTCGGCTCGACTCGACCTCGAGCCAGGTAAAAGTCGAGCCGAGCCGACTCGACTCGACCCGAGCCGGCTGCCCCAAAATGGTTGGCTCGACTCGGGGGTTCAGGTCGAGCCAAGGGTCGGCTCGACCTTGGCTCGGCTCGGCTCGACTCGCCAAAAGGAATTTCGTCTTCCGTTGCGGTCGAATTTTGACCCCCCGCTGGCAAGCCATGCGTTTCAGGAGTCGAGCCAAATTCGAGCCAAAGTCGAGTCGGCTCGACTTTGGCTCGCCATGAAATTTGCGACGAGTCGAGCCGAGCCGCGCGGCTCGACCGGCTCGACTCGGCTCGACTTGGGTCGAGCCGGCCAAAAAAAAATTCCGGCTCGACTCGCCAAAAAGGCGAGTCGAGTCGAGCCGAGTCGAGCCAGGCTCGGCATGCTGCCCATGTCTACCGAGCGGGTATTCGATACCCGTTACCCGAACCGTTACCCGACAGGGCGGGTAACGGGTACCCGTCGGTAGTAGGCTTGAGCAACGGGTCGGGTCGACATTTGCGGAGGGTCGACCCGAACCTCGGGTACCCGACCGACAAAACCCGACCCGTCGGGTCGGCTTATTACCCATCCCTGCCCCTATGCCAACCCGACCCGAAATCGGGTCCGTTAGTACCGGACCTATTAAACCCGGGTCGGGTTGAGATTTCTTGAACTCCGACCCGACCCGACCCGAAACCGACATCAAGTAGGGCAAAGTCGGGTCGGGTCGAGTCGGGTCGGGTTCATGCTCAAGCCTAGACGGTAGACATGGGTATATCACATCGCATCGCGATATATCGCATCACGTTTTATCGTATTTTGCGATGGAGATTTTCCCTCCTAAAAAAAAAAATAAAAATCGCAGCGATGTGATGCGATTTAATCGCGCGATTTTTGCGACATCACGATTATATCGCGCTTTATGCGACATTCCATTAAATAAAATCCACATTGCTAAGCTAAATGCTAGGTTTCTCTTGCTGAAATGGCGGGCGGAAATGACAAGCGGCAGTTTGGGGTTGGCGTAATTTATGGGGGGGTGTTTGTGTGAGGAGCTTGGGTTGGGGCACATTAGAGGAAGGGTTGGGAATTCTAGATGGGAAGAAGTGCAGTGCGGTAGAGGTAGGGGAGTTTTGGGTGGAGGTTCAAATTTGTTATGGGTGGTGGTGGACGGTGGGCGAGTGGGTTTTCTGAATGGGATGTGGTGGCTTTGCGGTTGAAGGGATTTAGGGGGTTGGACTGAAATTTCGACCCCCAAAGTCAATTGGTTAAAACTCCAACCAATTTCTACCACTTCAACCGCACTAAAATCCCCTGCGTCTAGAGAATCCAGCCCCCGCCCCTCTAACACGCTCCACATGAGAGAGGGACCAATTTTCCCCAATTCCCGTCAAATTTCACTTACCTAACTCTGCGCGAAACTAGGAGAGCCGCCATTGCCTTGCCATGTGGTGTGGGAAAACAACGGCTCCTAAATGTGATGTGATATTATATCGCATCGTGCAATATATCGCGTTTCAGGGTGCAGTATTTTTCAATATCGCACCCTGAAACGCTATATGCGATTCCGTTTTTTTTTTTTTTTACATATCGCAGCGATGCGATATCTCATCGCTGCGATATACTGCCCGATAGGACAGAATGCGATGCGATATCGCATCGCATCGCATTTTGATCATGTCTACCCGTCGGGTCGGGAAATTAATACCCGAGGTCGGGAATTACACCTAGACATGGGCGTAAGTCGCGCTGTGTTTTAGGTTTTGCGGCAAAACGGTTCGGGAGGTGAGGGGGGATGAGTGGAGCATTTGTGAGGAGAAGTTGGAGTTTGTAGATGGGGAGGAGTTAAGTGCAGTGAAAGGGAGGGAGTTGGGTGGGGGTTGGAGAAAATGTTGGAGTTTGTAGATGGGAAGGAGTTGAGTGCAGTGAAAGAGAGGGAGCTGATTTTGAGTTGGAGAAATTGTTGGAGTTTGTAGGTGGGGAGGAGTTAAGTACGGTGAAAGGGAGGGAGTTGGTTGGAACTTGGAGAAGGGTTGCAGTTGCTAGATGGGGAGGATTTTAGTGCGGTGAAAGGGAGGGCATCGGTTGGAACCTGGAAGCCCCCCAGAAAATGCGACTCTCATTTGAGAGTCGCGTTTTCAGAAACCCTAGCTGGCGTAGCCCGTTTTTAGGACGCCCACTAGTAGGTGGCGGGTGGTAATACCCGCTTTTCAGGGTAACCGGGTTGGGTACACCCGGACCTGCCAGGCGAGGCGGGTATTGTATTACCCGCCCCCTAAGGCCGGGTCAACCCTAAGGTCGGGTAATTACCCGGTTTTGTTCAACCCTGCTACAGTTCCTCCAATGCTACTAGCACCAGTTATCACCTATGTTGCAGAAAACGTGGTTTGCGTTTTAAACGCTAGCGTTTAAACGCTAAACGCTCAGAAGCCGGGGGGCAAACGCCAGGAAAACGCTAGGTCGGGCAGGGCAAACTACTGTCTGGGACTATATCGTAGCAATTAAGTAGTGCATATGCAGCAGAGAGCTCTGAGGAGCGCCTAGTGCGCCACATCTGTACGATCGACCTGTTTCTGGTGAGTAGAAGTATGCGAGGAGTGGTGGTTGAGTTTCCTAGATGAGATGGGGTGGAGAGTGGTTAAAGCAATTTTAGGTGTTTGGTTGGCATTGCACCTTCAATTTAAATTTCGCAATGTTCCTGGTAGGATTCGCCACATCGCGAACTGTCACCCAACTAAAAATAAAAATAAAAATCCGTCGGGCTGCCCCGAAATAAAAAACCTGAACGTCTTCGTTTTTCTAGTGTTTCAGCGTTTTGTGTTTAAACGCCACCGTTTAAACGCAAAACGCTCGCCTGTCAGAGCGTTTTTTGCAACATAGGTTATCACCTGCATTAATCGCCTGCACTGGGTATCACCTGCACCAGGTATCACCTGCAGTGGGTATCACCTGCAAGAGCGTGGTGACATCTGGTCTGTCCTTTGATCCATCGAGCTGCTCCTTCAACTGAGCTCTGTACATGCCATGCCGTGCCGTGCCAGTGTACACACGTGGGACATGTGGAGGTCAGTGAGGAAGCAAGCGCACGAAACAAGCACAACACACACGCATGCCGAACACAGCCTCTCACAAATCATTCACCGGAATAGAGAAGCTCCACAAAGAAAGCAAGACAGCACCGGCACCTGTTGTTCTGTTCATCCACCGTGTCCCCTCACCTCACCTGGTGATGTTGCACAACTGCCCACCTGGTGATGTTGCACAACTGCCCACCTGCTGACGTTGCACAAGTGCCCACCTGCTGATGTTGCACAAGTGCCCACCTGGTGATGTTGCAGAACTGCCCACCTGGTGATGTTGCAGAACTGCCCACCTGGTGATGTTGCAGAACTGCCCACCTGGTGATGTTGCACAACTGCCCACCTGGTGATGTTGCAGAACTGCCCACCTGGTGATGTTGCAGAACTGCCCACCTGGTGATGTTGCAGAACTGCCCACCTGGTGATGTTGCACAACTGCCCACCTGGTGATGTTGCAGAACAGCCCACCTGGTGATGTTGCACAACTGCCCACCTGGTGATGTTGCAGAACTGCCCACCTGATGATGTTGCAGAACTGCCCACCTGGTGATGTTGCACAACTGCCCACCTGGTGATGTTGCACAACTGCCCACCTGGTGATGTTGCACAACTGCCCACCTGGTGATGTTGCACAACTGCCCACCTGGTGATGTTGCACAACTGCCCACCTGGTGATGTTGCACAACTGCCCACCTGGTGATGTTGCACAACTGCCCACCTGGTGATGTTGCACAACTGCCCACCTGGTGATGTTGCAGAACTGCCCACCTGGTGATGTTGCACAACTGCCCACCTGGTGATGTTGCACAACTGCCCACCTGGTGATGTTGCACAACTGCCCACCTGGTGATGTTGCAGAACTGCCCACCTGGTGATGTTGCAGAACTGCCCACCTGGTGATGTTGCACAACTGCCCACCTGGTGATGTTGCACAACTGCCCACCTGGTGATGTTGCACAACTGCCCACCTGGTGATGTTGCAGAACTGCCCACCTGGTGATGTTGCACAACTGCCCACCTGGTGATGTTGCACAACTGCCCACCTGGTGATGTTGCACAACTGCCCACCTGGTGATGTTGCAGAACTGCCCACCTGGTGATGTTGCACAACTGCCCACCTGGTGATGTTGCACAACTGCCCACCTGGTGATGTTGCAGAACTGCCCACCTGGTGATGTTGCAGAACTGCCCACCTGGTGATGTTGCAGAACTGCCCACCTGGTGATGTTGCACAACTGCCCACCTGGTGATGTTGCAGAACTGCCCACCTGGTGATGTTGCACAACTGCCCACCTGGTGATGTTGCACAACTGCCCACCTGGTGATGTTGCAGAACTGCCCACCTGGTGATGTTGCACAACTGCCCACCTGGTGATGTTGCACAACTGCCCACCTGGTGATGTTGCAGAACTGCCCACGTGGTGATGTTGCAGAACTGCCCACCTGGTGATGTTGCACAACTGCCCACCTGGTGATGTTGCAGAACTGCCCACCTGGTGATGTTGCACAACTGCCCACCTGGTGATGTTGCAGAACTGCCCACCTGGTGATGTTGCAGAACTGCCCACCTGGTGATGTTGCAGAACTGCCCACCTGGTGATGTTGCACAACTGCCCACCTGGTGATGTTGCACAACTGCCCACCTGGTGATGTTGCACAACTGCCCACCTGGTGATGTTGCAGAACAGCCCACCTGGTGATGTTGCACAACTGCCCACCTGGTGATGTTGCAGAACTGCCCACCTGGTGATGTTGCAGAACTGCCCACCTGGTGATGTTTCAGAACTGCCCACCTGGTGATGTTGCAGAACTGCCCACCTGGTGATGTTGCACAACTGCCCACCTGGTGATGTTGCAGAACTGCCCACCTGGTGATGTTGCAGAACTGCCCACCTGGTGATGTTGCAGAACTGCCCACCTGGTGATGTTGCAGAACTGCCCACCTGGTGATGTTGCAGAACTGCCCACCTGGTGATGTTGCACAACTGCCCACCTGGTGATGTTGCACAACTGCCCACCTGGTGATGTTGCACAACTGCCCACCTGGTGATGTTGCAGAACTGCCCACCTGGTGATGTTGCAGAACAGCCCACCTGGTGATGTTGCACAACTGCCCACCTGGTGATGTTGCACAACTGCCCACCTGGTGATGTTGCAGAACTGCCCACCTGGTGATGTTGCAGAACTGCCCACCTGGTGATGTTGCACAACTGCCCACCTGGTGATGTTGCACAACTGCCCACCTGGTGATGTTGCACAACTGCCCACCTGGTGATGTTGCACAACTGCCCACCTGGTGATGTTGCACAACTGCCCACCTGGTGATGTTGCAGAACTGCCCACCTGGTGATGTTGCACAACTGCCCACCTGGTGATGTTGCAGAACTGCCCACCTGGTGATGTTGCACAACTGCCCACCTGGTGATGTTGCACAACTGCCCACCTGGTGATGTTGCAGAACTGCCCACCTGGTGATGTTGCACAACTGCCCACCTGGTGATGTTGCACAACTGCCCACCTGGTGATGTTGCACAACTGCCCACCTGGTGATGTTGCAGAACTGCCCACCTGGTGATGTTGCAGAACTGCCCACCTGGTGATGTTGCACAACTGCCCACCTGGTGATGTTGCACAACTGCCCACCTGGTGATGTTGCACAACTGCCCACCTGGTGATGTTGCAGAACTGGGTGCACAGCAGGCGCTGCACGTGCCAGGCGGGGGGGAAGATGCGCCAGACGTCGTCGTTGAGCTTCAGCTGCCGCTTCACCCACAGGTACCGCCGCTCCACCTTGTCCAGCCGCGCCACGTCTGACCCACACAGGGATGGGGGGAGGAGGAGACGAGCAAAGGAGGGAAGTGACCCTGAGCCTACTCCTCACCATATCTAACGCATGTCCCGACTTCTCTCCTTGTTTTAATTCTCAGCTCATTCTTCCACTACTTGCTGTGAGCCTGCACTTCCCTTCCCGCCACGCTGGGCCGGGTCCTGCCCCTTTTCGACCCCGACCCCGCCGCCGCTGCCCCCCTCCCACGCCGGCTAGCCGTGCTTGAAGCCGGCCTGCTGCAAGCCGCTGCCGAGTTGTTTCGGGAGGAGCGGGCCTCTCCAGAACCCCCTAAGGTGCAGCGTGCCCTGGCGCTGCAGGTCCAGGCAGAGCGGTTCACCATGCTCCTGAAGGAGACCCGCCACCTCCCCCTGAACCCGCTCTAGGGTCACACTCAGCGCCTGCTATCCCTCATGGGACCGGGCGCAGGGGACTGGCTCCATGCCCTCCCCCTCTCCTCGTCCCTCCCCCTCTCCTCGTCCCTCCCCCTCTCCTCGTCCCTCCCCCTCTCCCCCGGCCACTTCTTCACCACCGTCGCATTCCGCCTCGGCCTGCCGCATGCCACGCCCGGGCGCTGCGATTCCTGGCGCCGTGTCGACATGCTGGACCCCCGAATCGCCACCCACCTCTTCAGGTGTGACACTGGACCAGGACGCACCGGCACCGGCACTCACCATGCACCGTGCCACGAGTGCGCCCGAATCGCCAGTGAAGCCAGCTTCATCACCCACACGGAGACCAACCTGTTCACGCGCGTTGCCAACCTGTGGGTAGATGTGGCCATCCGCCACCCCGACTCGGGCGCTTTTTGGCTTTGCGACGTGACGGTGACGGGCCCCGCCTCGAAGGAGGACGAGCACGCCCGCCGCGTCACTGGTTGGGCAGCCCGAGTCGCTGTCCGCGCGAAGGAGCGCAAGTACTGCCCCCCTGCCCGGCCTGCGTGGGTAGGCTTCTATGCCATGGCCGCCGAGACCTATGGACTTACCTCCCCGGGCGTCTTCCACCTCCTCCGCACGTGCGCTGAGCTGGTGGCGAAGCGCCGTTATGAAGCTGCACCCACCTCCCGCGAGGCCGCCAAGCTGTTCCACGAGTACCGCCAGCGCTGGTCGGTTACTCTGCAGCGTGAGCAGGCTGTTGCCCTCAACACGAAGAACAACCTCGCCCTCGCGACTGAGGAGAGGCCGCTGGGTTTCCCCGCAGAGCCCCTCCCCTGGGCGACCTGCTGCAGGTCCTGGAGCCCGACGTGGGGGTAGACATGGGCACAAGCCGAGCCACACCTGGCTCGACTCGGCTCGGCTCGCGCACGCGAAACCAGGCGAGCCGAAGTCGAGCCGGCTCGAGATGGCTCGATTTCGAGCCAGCCGGCTCGCGGTTCGGGTATGGGGGGGTTTCGCGACACTCAAATTTCAAATCGACGAACTCCCCCAACCCCATTTCGTAAACCAACCCTAATCTTTCTATGTCGCCCTAGGCTATCGCCCTAGACATTCGCCCTCAGCCAGAACCAGAACCATTTAAACTTGCAGCACCTTTTGTTTTTTTTTTAACATGTAAGTGCTATTACAATTAGGGCCAACGAGGCCTTGGCGCGACACCCCTAGGCGCGCCACCGAGGCCTTGGCTCGTGGTATGCGCACGCTAGGGTTTAGGCATGGGCATGCGACCCTTTAGGCCTACTCACGCAATGCTGCAGGGTTTAGGGCGCTCGGTAACGCTAGATTAGGGCGTGCGAAGACATACGTTAAGCGTGCGCATTCGGGAAGGGCGAGGGGCGCGATCTTGCGCATGGCAAAGACCAAGGCAACAGCGGCTAGGCAAGGGGGGCCAGGGAGGGATCGTGTAGCGGGCACAACAGGTGAGGCGGTGGGGGACCAGGGGGGTGTCAGTTCGCGGGCGAATGCGACCGATGGAGGTGGAGCCATGCCCCACATGCCTGAGGAGTGGACGAATTTCCTCCTCTCTCGGCAGGGGATGGGACAAGGGGGAGGGGGGGGAAGGGCCCAGGGGGAGGGGAGGAGGTCGAAGCGCGCACCCGCTCGCCGCAGCAGGGAGAGCGGCGGTGATGAGAGGGATGGGAGCGATTCGGAGGAGCAGGAGAGCGGAAAATCTAGCGGCAGCGAGTATGAGGAGGAGGAAGAGGAGGGGGATGATGAGCACGCGATGGAGGGATTGGTGGAGGAGGAGGAGGAGGAGGAGGAGGAAGAGGAGGAGGAGGAGGAGGAGGAGGAGGAGGAGGAGGAGGAGGAGGAGGAGGAGGAGGAGGAGGAGGAGGAGGAGGAGGAGGAGGAGGAGGAGGAGGAGGAGGAGGAGGGGGAGGGTCGGTCCAAGAAGGGAACGGGTGGGAGTAGGGGGGGGGAGAGCGCCAGGGGGAAGAGGCAGCGTCAGGAAGGGAGTGGGGTTGGGCGACGGCCAGGGACAGGCGCCAGGGGGGGAGGGAGGGGCGGGGAGGAGGGGGAGGAGCGCGCCTATGTTGGAAAATACGCGTATTGCGTCTTATACGCTAGCGTATATACGCTATACGCTTGGGTTTGGGGTCCAATATGGCAGGAATACGGCTGCCCGGGCTGCCCCCTCTCCCGGCTGCCCGTTGCCCGAGCAGGCAAAAAAAAACCGGCGGGCAGCCGGGAGAGGGGGGGTCCGGGGGGGGGGGGGGGGCAGGGCATCAAGTTTGATTTTTTTTTCTCCATTAAAATAACTTAACACAGGCATTTGTCACATCAAGAGCTTACTGCTAGCCCATGCCACTGCTAGCACTGCTGCTACTACTTCTACAGCTGCTGCAGCCACTCTCGCCCACTGCTGCTGCTGATTGGTCCACTGCTGCTGTCTGGTCCACTGCTGCTGCTGTTACTCCCACTACTGCAGCTGCCTGCCCCCCTGGTGCTGCCGCTGCCACTCTCCCTGCAGCTGCCTCTGGTGACGGGTCTACTGGTACTCGTCCTCCATGACGAGATCCTCCCCCTCCTCCTCCTCCAGGTCGTCCTCCAGGTTGTACCCCGTGGGCACAGGGGCCTCGGAGCTGCACTCAGGAAGGACCAAGGACCCCCCGTCCTCCTTGTGCCAGTTGTGGACCTGGTGCCAGTTGTGGGACATATAGACCAGGTCCCGACACTTTTCGGCACCGAGGCGGTTGCGCTTGGCAGTGTGGACCGCCTCCCACACTGCCCAGTTACGCTCGCATGCGGCCGCTGAAACGGGCTGTGAGAGCACCCGACAGGCCAGAGCGGCAAGCTCAGGGTAGTCGGACCCATGCCACTGCCACCACCGCGCCATGCTCTGCCTCCCCTCCTTCACTGATGCACGATCAGCAATGGCGGTGGGGAGCCCGAAGCTGCCCTTCAGAGTGATGAAGGCGTCGAGGCCGTCTTGCATCACGAGGGTTGCTCGAATGGGCTCGCCATCCCTCATGAACTCCTTGTCTTCGTAGTGGCGGGCGATGAAGGCTTTGAATACCCTCGTGCACTCCATGTCCGAGGGGAAGATCCCCTTAGGCTTGAGCAAAACCGGGTAATTACCCGACCCGACCCGGTTTTGCAATACCCGACCTTGGGTCGGGTAATTTCGGGTCGGGTCCGGGTCGGGTAATATGCCCAGGACCCTTACCCGGACCCGGCCTTAAGGGGCGGGTAATACAATACCCGCCTGGCGGGTCCAGGTATACCCGACCCGGTGACCCCAAAAAGCGGGTAATACTACCCGCCACCTACTAGTGGACATCCTAAAGTTGGGCTAGGCTAGGTAGGGTTCCTGAAAACGCGACTCTCAAATGAGAGTCACGTTTCCTGGGGGTCGAATTTTGACCACCCAACTCCCTCCCTTTCACCGCACTGAACTCCTCCCCCTCTACAAACTCCAATTTCCAACCAAACTCCCTCCCTTTCACCGCACTGAACTCCTCCCTGTCTACGAACTCCAACGTTTCCAACAAAACTCCCTCCCTTTCACCGCACTGAACTCCTACCCATCTACAAACTCCAACCTCTTCTCCAACTCCCACCCAACTCCCTCCCTTTCACCGCACTGAACTCCTCCCCGTCTACAAACTCCAATTTCCAGCCAAACTCCCTCCCTTTCACCGCACTGAACTCCTCCCTGTCTACAAACTCCAACATTTCCAACAAAACTCCCTCCTTTTCACCGCACTGAACTCCTACCCATCTACAAACTCCAACCTCTTCTCCAACTCCCACCCAACTCCCTCCCTTTCGCCGCACTGAACTCCTCCCCATCTACAAACTCCAACTTCTCCTCACAAATGCTCCACTCGTCCCCCCTCACCTCCAAAACCGTTTTTGCCGCAAAACCTAAAACACAGCGCGACTTACGCCCATGTCTAGGTGGAATACCCGACCTCGGGTAATTTTTTACCCGACCGGGTCGGGTACCCGTTACCCAACACGTCGGGTAGCATTTCGGGTAGCGGGTATTGATACGCGGCCCGGGTAACCCGGACCCGACCCGCCGGGTAATTTTCAGGATTTCCGATACCCGACCCGCCCTAAAAGCGGGTCCGGGTACCGGGTACCCGACCCGGGCGGGTAGTTTGCTCAACCCTAGATCCCCTCCTCCTGATTGGCCGGGTTTAGGATGCGGCCAACCACATGGAGGGGGCACGCCATGCTGCCGTCCCACCTCCTTTTCACCATGCGGCGGATGGCATTGGCGTCCGCAGCGGTGAGACCCTCCAGCCACGCCTCCTCCAGCTTCTCATCGACATCAACGGTAAGCTGCAGCATGAGGTCGTACATACGACCCATCATGCCCTTCACGGACGAGTCGGTGGCGCGCATTGCCATGAACGGCAGCCGCATGAGGTTGGCAAATTGCAGAGCCTTGGTCCACCAGTCGGAGTCGAGTATGGCAGCGCTGAACGCCTCGCTGCCAGGCTTCCTCCCCCCAGCCGCGAACCTGGCCCACTCCTCACTCAGCACCTCGCACAGCCGGGACACGGAGATGAACTGGGTGCCGAAACGCGTGCCAGCCGGT